CACTCTTTGGCTTTACTAGCGGTTTCAGTATTCTTATCCAGGTGCAATATAGAGAAATTGAAAATATATGCACATCGTATTAAATTCTTGAACTTTAAAAATAGACCAAAATAAAATATATATATAAGTTTTATTTTTTTTCAGTTTCATAAAACGATATTCTATTTTTCTTTCTCAAGTCAAACAGATTTTTAAAATTTATATAAGTTTCTTTTAAGTCAAACAGATTTAAAATATAAGAGAAAAAATATTAAAAAAATTAAAAATATTTAATCATCAAACAAGGGAGATATAAATGTTCTAAATTAAATTGATAATAGTTAAAAATTATTTTAGTAACAAAAAAGAAAATAAAAAAATTAATATTAACAATAAAACTCTTAAGAACTCAACATATAAAGAGAAACAAATTATATTAAAAAATTACCAATTTGAATTTCAAAATCAGCCCATTCTTCAACTCAAAGGGCTATAATTTAATGTTGATGAACAAAAAAAAAAAAAAAAAAAAAAACAATGAAAATTATACAAGCAAATCATGCTAAGGATATTCTAATTTGGTCTAAGTTAATGAGTTTATTCAAACATCATTTTATTTTTCTATTGTTTCTAAAGTTGTAAAATTTACAAAACTCAAATATAATTAAGTTAACTATTAAACGAAAAAAGGATTACATATGAAACGTGTGCTACTCAATTTCTCCAAAAATCAAATCTTCAATTTTTCTGTACCAACCATATAATACACACAAAGAATATAATTTTTCTATTTTCTAAACAAAAATTATGTAAACTTACCTATTTTTCCAAATTTAATTTGCTTCTAAAAAAGGATATATCTACATTAAATGCAATAGCAAACTAATAAGAAAAAAATCTTAATAAAAGATAATACTTTTTTCTTTTTTTATTTCTCTCCTATAAAATAGTTGTTCAAATCTATTAAGTCAAGATAATATCATAATCAAAATATTTCAATAAATAAAATATAAAATTTTTTTAAATATCTTCGGTTAATTAGGTATATCTTCTTTAATTAAAAATAAAATTCTTAAAAAATAAAACCTTAAAATTTCTCGAAAAATTCATATTATTATAGTACTTATATAATATATATATAAAAGCTCTCATACTATATTATATATAGTATATATAACTTAATGTATGAAATATAAATATGAAATGCAGGCTTACTATCGATGAGGTGTCGAAGTCCATATATAACTTAATGTATGAAATATAAATTATGAATGCAGGCTACTATCGATGAGGTGCCAAGTCCACAGCCACAACCAAATCACAATAGTACCACGGTGAGATTTTCATAAACAAATAAATAAATATTTATATATAAAGTTCAAATTCCTTTGCTAATGTATTAATCTTTGCTTTCTCGAATTTTTAGTATACCGAAGGCAGCCTTCATCCTCGAGGTAATCAATTAAATAAATAGACATCCAACTTAATTTTTTCAATATAAGCTTTTAACTAGTAATATTAAAGTAGTTTGAAATTTTTTGATTTTTAGCCGAACTTAATTAATTGAAATTTTTTGATTTAGTCAAATCAATCCGAACCATTTTAGTTAAATTAATTTTGATTATTAATCGAGTTGAAGTTAAAGAAAATAAAAATGTATTTAATTGACCGACTCTAAAAAAACATATTTATTAATACTGTAATTAATCAAAACGGAGTAATTTTTAATGTCGGTTAATTTTGATTAATTCGGTTTGGTTAACTTTTGACCGATCACTGAAAATTCAATTTTCTTTAACCAAATATTTATTCATTGAATAAATTGGCTAGACGACGCTCACTACACAATACAAGAAGCCATGTTTATTCCTCTGCCAAAAATGCTGTGCAAAGTGCTTGTGCGTGCCTTCAGGGACTTGTGGTAACAAACAATCCTGCCCTTGCTACAATAATTGGAAGACCAAAAGGGGAGGTCCCAAAAGTCCTTGAATGCACTTTACCTAATTTAGTTCCCTTCAAAATCAATTGCAGCCATACATTTACTTTTAATGTATTTATATACATATTTGTGTTTTGTGAGCAAATTTACATAGCCAAGAAGAAGGAATCTAGTTAGCTAAACTGACACAATCCTCTCTGATTGCTTCATAGTCTTTTCCAGGAATAGATTCCTTACAGGAATTCCAGCAGAAAGCCTCAAGAAATAAACCTATCCAAAATAGGAATTACACAGCTTAAATACTGCAAAGAAACAGAGTATAACCAAAGAACTCAATGTCAGTGAAGAATAAGCATTTAGAATACCCAAAAGACAAAATAAACCAGCTGAACAAAGTAAATTAGAGGCTAGAATAGACAGGGTAAAATAAGTAAGAGGTTTCATTTGTATAAATTTCTCCCAATTTTTACTCAACTATACTTACTTATACAATTCTCAATGAGTTAGTGCAAATTTAGCAATAGATTGATTCACAATAATTTGCCATTTGGAAAGAACAGTATACCAAGCTTTCTGCTCATCAGCTTTGAATAGAATGGAAATGGAGAAGACGGAGCGCATTGTCTACTGCCAAATCCAAACAGTAACAACACCACTAGCATCTCCTGTGAAAAAAAGGCCATGAGGACCTCTTTGAATTTCTCTTACTTCTTGCTCTGCAAAGATCCTATCCCTTTCAGCATCCCTTTCAGTGAAAGACTCCAAGTCATATAATCTAACACAATTATCATTGCCCGAACACAACACAACAGGCTTCCCTTGAGAATCTTGCATGCCAATCACTTTCAGAACCCCAGCCTTCTCTTCTTTTGTGTGCACTTGTTCTAATAATTTGCCTTCTCCTTCTTTTATAACCCAAAACTTGACTGTATGATCTAAGGAGCATGTCAATAAACAGTTATCCCAACTAAGAAGAGACATAACCACATCATTATGGCCTTCCAGTATTTGATTACACTGTAATGTCTCCAAATCCCAAACTTTCACAGTACTGTCCATAGAGCCTGAATATAAGAATTTACCATTAAAGCCAATATTCAAACATGTAATAGGCATTTTATGTGCTCTTATGTTTGCTACCAATTTGAAGGGATTTTCTTCAAAACTTCCTTTCCACACCAAAATATCACCATTAGCTGCTCCAGCAAATAACATATCTTTGTATACCGCCAAAGCATATACTCGACCAACTGGTCCATCTAAGGAGAACTCTTTAATATCAGATTCACTCAAACTCCACACTCTAACAGAATTTGATAGTCCAATAAAAACCCATGAGCCTTCGCAGATAAAAGAGTTCACAGTACTGTCCATAGAGCCTGAATATAAGAATTTACCATTAAAGCCAATATTCAAACATGTAATAGGCATTTTATGTGCTCTTATGTTTGCTACCAATTTGAAGGGATTTTCTTCAAAACTTCCTTTCCACACCAAAATATCACCATTAGCTGCTCCAGCAAATAACATATCTTTGTATACCGCCAAAGCATATACTCGACCAACTGGTCCATCTAAGGAGAACTCTTTAATATCAGATTCACTCAAACTCCACACTCTAACAGAATTTGATAGTCCAATAAAAACCCATGAGCCTTCGCAGATAAAAGAGTAAATTTCAAAACCCAAATTGATTACATGATTGCAATTGCCAGATTTACAATCCCAGACCCTAACAGTACCATCTCTACTGCCAGTATAAAGCTGATCAGAGCCTGAAGGAAGAGCAATACCTACAACAGCTTTTTTATGGCCTTGTAGTCTTGCAAGCATTGAGAAGCCATTGCCGGAGAGATACCAAGAGTGCAAAAACTTACAGTTACTGCCGAACGCACATCTTCCCTTGGCCCAGAATTTGCAAAGTTTTGTTGCTTGACTGTTAGGTTTCTTGGCGCCAACTGAAGAATCGTAAAAGTTGTTGGGTTTCTTTGCACCAACAGAAGAATCGTAAAAGGAGGGTTTCGGGTTGTCTATGGTTCTCACCAGGATATCCATTGGTTGATTTAGAAATCGAACAGCAAGGGAGAACAAGAAGAAGCAAAAGATCAGAGGTTGTCGGTAGTTAGGAACCGATGACTTGGCGGAAAAGTGAAGCAAATAGAGGAGCGTAGTATTATTTATAATGCAATTCAAACTAAGCTCCCATTCTCAGTCGGATTGATTAAAGGCGGTTCCAATTGATTAACTTGATAATTAATTTGTTATTTTTAATACTATAATATTAATGTGGCTGTTAGCAGAACTCTCGCCATAGCATATCACTTGCTGACTGTAAAATTCCTTATCTCATAAATATTAACATAAATGTTAAAATATATAAAAGACAACAACGCTGTTTAAACAAAAAAAGCAAATTTTGTATCAAAAATATGCAAAAAAGTGTTTAAACCTATAAAAGCAAAAAGCATGAAAAATTTGTCAAAATGTTAGCAATACAACTTATTTTTAAAAAAAATTTCATTAACACGGGATAAAAATTAATTGCTATAAATCAACAATATTCTAGCGCACTATCTAAGATAGCTTGGTTTAGTAGTTGAAACGCACTAGGTCCCATCCTAGTAATTGCATGATCGAGCTGGAGAGTCTCTCATCTAACCGTTAAATGAGAGGTAGAAAAACAACCTTAGTAAAAAAAAAAAAAAGAGTGATTCATTCGATAGAAGAGAAGCTAAAAGTTTACTGTGCATAGATTTTAGGAATTGAAGAAATTTTAAGAATTCAAGGAGAGAAGAGTGTCGTCACTCGAGGTATTATGGTGAAAGTCCTACTAATTGCTACATCAACATAGCGCAAACGATTCATGGACGAAAGCCACAATCGTTAAGAAAAAATTACTTCGTAGTATCAATTGTAACAATTATAAGAATCGACCAAAATCGTTAGAAAGCTCAAAGTTCAATTTTTTTTTTTTTTTTTTTTTCAACAATCGTTAGACAGCTCAAAGTTCAAAATTTTTTTTTTTTTTTTTTTTATCATTAAGGCTTAGGGAAATATGTAATTAAAATCCTTAGTTACTAATATCCAATATTAATATAAAAGCTATAATATCAATTTTTTTTTTTTTTTTTTTTTATCATTAGGCCTTAGGGAAATATGTAATTAAATCCTTAAGTTATACCAATATTAATATATAAACTATAATATTTTTTAAAAAATATTCTAACGTTTCTAAATTATACTTCCGTCTCATAAATAGGCCCCTCTATCCATAAAAAGCATATATTACCATCAAATCTCAAAGAAATTATTTTCTTTTATTCTTAAATTTTTATCTTTATTTTTCAACCCAAAATGAAAAAAAAAAAATCTAGAAATTAAGATGAATGGACAAAATAGAGAATGTTTCGAACCTCTTTTGCAAATCGTCACATATCGAGTTAAAATAAAATAAACAAAATTCAATAAAAAAGAATAATATTGTTTGTCTATTAAATCCAAGAAAAGGAAAAAAAAAAAAATGTACTTATACTTTTAAGTAAAAATTTTGGATGCATTTTAGTATGTGATTTTCTATTTACTAATTCTCTCTCTAATCCCTTTTGTTTATGTCTATTAAGCCCTGTTAAGGATTTTTTTTTATCATTTCACTAAATTCTCTCCCGTTTGTCTGCCACATTAGTAATAGACTCATGACAAAATCCATTAAAAACGGACTAAGGGATATAATTATGAGACGGAAAGCATAATTTAAGGCATTAGAGTCGCTTCTTAAAAATAGTGAGACTTATGTGTTAATATTAATATAATTTAAGGATGAGTTTATATTTTTTTTCTTCCCAATTATTTCAATAATATTATAATGTTAATTAAGTTTACTTTATTTATTTATTCTTATTTGCCAATGTTAAACTCTCAAAAATTAAGGATTTAGAAAATTGTGAATTAGCCCTTCTAGGCTTAATTGAGAATATTTATATTGATGGAGAGATAATTGTATTTGGACAAAGATAGTAGGAATCCTGATTTATTTGTTAGTTAGAGTTTATTTAGGAGTTTAATATCTTTTTTTATTATTATTCTTTTATATATTTTATTATTGTATATTATCAGCCAGTTCTTATCATTTACTTACAATAATTATCTATTTTATATTTCAGTTCCCCAATTTTCCATTGGGCAAAAAATTATTACATAAAAAAATTAAGAGTAAATTATTTATTATCTCTTCTAAATTTGCATAAAATTAAGTGATAATTATATAAAAATTAAATTTTGAATAAATTATATATCACCTTAAGTTTTCATGATACATCATACATCAAACCTTGTTAAAAAAAATAAAAAATTACTATTTAATCTCTATATTTTATTAAAATACACGACAGTTCACCTCTATTTTTAGAAATACACTGTCTTGCTTTGGTCTTTGCTTCCATTACATATTATTTCCTTTTATTAAATTTTTGTTCTTTTTTGTTAAATATAAAAATAAATTAATTAATTTTAAGAAATAGAAGAAATAGTCAATTTTAAAAAGTACTATAATAATAAATAGGAGTAATTTATTGGCGTAAAGGGATAAAAAATTGTAGTTTAAGACAACTATGTATTTACCACGAAAATATTGTATATTGTATATTCTTGTTTTTTCCTCTTAGGAATTATTGATCTCACAACCAAAAATACACAACCAATCTGAGAGAATGACTTGATTATTTGAGATGCAAAATGGCTATTTATAACATCCTTACAAGATAAAACAGAAAATCCAAAAGCAACCCACGTTATATTAAAATCGTGGTAACTAAACTAGAAAGAATTCAAACCTGTAACAACATCCTAAAGACTAGGACACTTATTAACAAAATAGCGAACCTTAAGTCATAACATTTCCTCCCTTAAACTAGATTGCCTAAGCAATTAGTTTATTGCTGGAGCCTTACATACTCCTAATTGATCTCTCAACTTTTGAAATAACTTCAGTTTAAGTGGTTTAGTTAATACATCAGCCACCTGCTCTTGTGTTTCACAATGCTTCAAATATACAACTCCTTCTCTAGCCAACTCCCGTAGGAAGTGAAAACGTACATCTATGTGTTTGCTTCTGCCATGCATAAGGTTCTTGGATAACTTGATCGTTGAGCTATTGTCACAGAAAATAGTAGTGTCTTTGCTGCCTTTATCGCCAAGTTCCTTCAAAATTCTCTTCATCCACACGGCCTGACATGAACACGCTGTAGCAGTGACAAATTTAGCCTCTATTGTACTGAGAGTTATAATCGGTTGCTTTCGTGATGATCACGCAACTACTCCTGAACTCAAAACGAAAGCATAACCTGACGTGCTCTTTCTATCCTCCAAACAGCCTGCATAATCACTGTCATAGAAGCTAATTAACTCCTTATTCCCTCCCTTCCTATAAAGGATCCCAAAGTCAGTTGTTCCTTGTAGATAACACAAGATCCTCTTGGCTTCCATGAGATGAAGTTCTGTTGGCTTTGACATATACCTACTAATCAGGCTAACAACAAACATTATGTTCGGTCTCGTGGCTGTTAGATACATCATGCTCCCCACCAATTGCTTATAAAAAGTGCCATCAACCTCTACTCCATTTTCATCTTTACCAATCTTAAACCCCGGAATGATGGGATTCCGAACTGCATTACTGCTCTCCATTCCAAACCTTTTCAAAATCTCCATTGCATACTTCCTTTGGCTTATAAAGATTCCTTCACCAAACTGCATCACTTCAATACCGAGGATGTACTTTTGATGCTAACACCTGCTTCAGATGTCATCAGACTAGGCATTATGCTAGAGATTGCCCACTTTTTCAGCTACGACATATGTCATCCCAATCTTCTATGGGTAGTATGTCTAGACCCCCTACTGCATCGGGTTCTAAATTCGCAAGGCCATAGTTCTTTTGGTAGAGGCAGAGTTCCATACAAGCTTCACAATCTGCAGGAGGACAACTTCGACTTTTCCATTTGACCCAGGGGGATGCTTAGGCATCCAATGTCGTGGTAGCAGGTATTCTTACTATTTGTTCATTTGAGGCGCGAGTTTTGTGTGATCCTGGTACCACCCATTCATTTATATCTCCTGGGTTTGGTAATTTGGACTTCTTACGGGCTTCGTGAGCCTTAAGCTTACCTGAGCCCTAGTATCAGTCCAACCTATAATTTTGGGTCGTGACAAAATCATTGTCTTTATAGTGAACATAGCCTTCCGAAATTTAGTCTTCCACTCCTTTAGAAGATTAGCATGATCGTGTTGTGGTGATGTAGTCTCTATCCTGGAGAGGGAGAGAGAGTCGGTGCTACTCTAATATGCTCCGTAGGTTCGTTTTCAATCATTGTCTTTATAGCGAACATAGCGTTCCCAAATGTAATCTTCCACTCCTTTAGAAGATTAGCACGATCATGTTATGGTGGGGTAGTCTCTATCCTGGCAAGTGACAACAACCTCCCACGAGTCTTAACCTTACAAGTACGTGTCTTTCCTGTTTTGGATAGGTTTATTCCTTGAGGATGTTTTACATGGAGTCTCGCTAATAGGTTCTAATTACAAATGCTTTCTTTAGGTCACATTCTATCATAATTACAATTTGAAGAAGATGCTAGTTGGTTGCTTCTCCTCTTCGGACTGTGAGAATTAATTTTGGTGCAGCTTTAAAATTCAATAGCTTCTGGGAGTGTCGGAAGTAATCTGTTAAGATCATGAAGGAAACTGCTCACTTCTATTGCAAGACAGATTCAAGAAATTAATTGTCCCTCTACTGTTGAAGGCTTTGCACTAAGTGATGCAATTTGTCAGCAATGTCCATTGGCTGTTCATCTGTCATTTTTTATGACGCTAGGACTAGAGAATCTATTCCAGGGAAAGACTATGAAGTAGTCAGAGGATTCAGTCAGTTAAGTTAACCGGATTCCATCTTCTTCTTGGCTATGTAAATTTGCTCATAACATATATATAAACGGATCCGATCTTCTATCTTGGGCTAATGTAAATTTTTGCTCATAACATATAATATATAATATTATATAATAATATAAATATTTATATATATATATGTAACAGCAAAAGCAATATATATATATGTACAGCAAAAGCAAATATAGTGCTGCAATTGATTTTGAAGGAAATAAAATTAGGTACAAGTGGGTTCAAGGACAACCGGGACCTAGGGCAGGATTGTTTGTTACCATATGTTCCTGAAGGCACACAAAAGCACTTTGCGTAGCATTTTTGGCAATAAGTATAAGCAGTGCTTCTTGTATTGTCGCTTTCAGCATCTTCTACTGCAACAAAAGAAGAGAAATAGAGAGTTTAATAATGATGAAATTCTTTTGTGTCTATTCCGCTTATTTTTAGTAATGAAATTTTGAACATATTTTTCTTTGTAACGATGGATAGCATTTTTAAAAAAAAAAAAAAAAGTTTCACTTGATCTTTAAAATTCATATTTATATTTAAGGAAAAATTATAGTATGGTCTTTGCAGTTTGCGAAATATAATTATTCCGTCTCTGTGTTTTTAAAAATATATCATTTTGTCCCTATGTTTTGCATCTATTGCGCTACTAGGTCCTTCTATTTAATTTTTATATCTTTTCCGTTAAATTAACAGGAAAACACAAACGTCAAAAGAGAAGTATTAAAATTTTATACGAGAAAGATTTTACAGTATTAAATTTTTATATTAGAAAAGTTACAGTATGGTTCTTATTATTTGAGAAATATAATTAGTTTGTCCATGTATTTTTAAAAAATATCAAAAGTGAAAAGATATAAAAGCCTACTTTCATCATTTCATTAAACATTGGACGAAAAAAATATAAAATTGGACAGAAGGACCTTATAGTTTGACAGAAATAAACGATAAGAAAATTTTAATTTATTTTTTAAAACACAAAAGGTGACGTATTCCCTAAAGTATAGGGATCCTGCTATAATTTTTTTTGTCTATATTTAATTTATATTATGCAATGCAGAATCAGCTGGTAATCAATTAAATTTTATCCCCTAAGAACAAAAATCAGTAATATCTTATTTACTTAGCAAAATAAGTAATATAAAAACTATTTCACTTCTTGCTATAGATTGGCAAATGGTTAGAGGCTTCTAGAACCTCTTGGAGCTGCAAAGTTCCTACGCCATTGTAGGATAATAGGAGCGACATGATTCCCTGACCTTTGAATAAATTTTGACCGGATAAAAAGCTGGAGGTTGTATCTAACTTACCGCTTCAGGAATACAAAACTTCACCTGCTTGAGGATCAGGTAGTCCTTGTTTAAGAACCAACTGTCCAGCACAGATATGCCCTTCACTATCACGTATAATCATACCCAACCCAAAAAAGCCATTTGCAAGGACCGCCACGTCAACGTTACAAGTGGACTGACCTGGTGTTGGAGCCGGCCACTTGTGAACATCAATTCAGTCATTATGCGTATTTAAAAATTAAAAAAAAAAGAGAGAGAATTTGATAAAATATTTTCAAAAACTTTTTTAAAATACGTACACATGAAAAATTTATCAAAATTTTAAACAATTAAATAATCAAATCAAGAATTGTTTTTTTAAAAGTAAATATTTAGCAATTTTAGTCATGCTAGTATTCTAGAACATTGTATTACACGAGTGCTTCTTATTATAAGTACTCATTATTTCATTTATAATTTTTATTATTTAACAAGAATTATGTTCGTCATTATTTTAGTTTTAGTAAAGAACAATTAAACATAATAATTAGTAAAATATAAATAAAACTATAAAAATAATTAATAATTAAATAAAATATTTACTACGCTTCGATTTTCTTCTATATTGATGTTCTTTTCTATAAAATTTAAATAAAAATATTCATAAATTAAAATTGAACAGGAGATATTATTAACGACTAAAGAGAAAGTTAGTATGGGGCTATATGCGTTGCTTATAGAATATTATATATATATATATATATATATATATATATATATAATATATAATAATTTTGTTAGTTTAAGTATATTTGAACTTTTCTTATTATATTTCTTCAGTTTCATCAAATATAATTGTTAGTTTATATATTTGACTTTCTTTTAATACTTTCTCAGGGTTTATTCAATCAACCATAAAATAACACACAGAATTTAATTATTATTATTATTTTTTTGGGGGCTAACATAAATTATTTTCCCTTCGTTTTTGACTTGACTTTACTTAGTGCTTTGAAGATGGAATAGTTTTTCAAATATAGACCCATTTATATGTTCTTGGTAAGGACCAAAAACAAGTGTATAAGAAAAGTGGTTGCTAGTTTCTATCTCCTCAATTTCCCACCCGCCTAAAATTAAATATTACTACCAAATAATATGAATAAATAAATAAAAACATTTAAAAGAACAAAAGTTATTTAATTAAACTACTATTGTTCTTCAAAGTCAAATACAACTTCATCTGAAACTGACAAATTTTTAATAATCATTGTTGTTCAAATTAAGAAAGTCTTCTTCTCCATCAGCTAATCATGGTTGTTCAAATTAACAAAGTCTTCTTCTCCGACATTGGCATTACACTAAAGTAATGAAATTTTGATACTAATAATGTGCCGGTTTAACGTATAAAGTGAGAAATTGTAAGTCTTAAGAGTTTTCACCAATTCGTTAAATATTCTGCACTGCTGCTGTGTATATATACATATGTATATGAAACACTTGCCTTCAATCTCTAATAATGACTTCTCTAAGATACCCATTATCCTATAAGCTTATTGTTACCATTCTTGAGCTTCTGCTTTTATCTCTTTTAGCAGTCTCTGCAACTGGTAAACACCAAGCCTCAAGAAAAGGACTAGAAGAAGAAGAAGCTAAAGCTCTTCTGAATTGGAAAAGCAGTCTCCACAACCAAAGCCAATCTCTCTTGTCTTCTTGGAGTACAAATACTAGTCCTTGCAACAACTGGACTGGAATCAATTGCAATTCTTTCGCAAGTGTTGTAGAATTCAATCTTTCTGACTATGGTTTAAAAGGTACACTTGAGACTTTCAATTTCTCAGCCTTCCATAACCTCCATAGCCTTGTTCTGAGTAATAATTCTCTTTATGGTTCAATTCCTTCTTCTATTAGTAATCTTTCTGAACTCAAATATCTTGATCTATCTCGCAATTCTTTCTATGGAAATATTCCATTTGAAATAGGATTCCTTACAAATCTAAATTCTCTTATTTTATCAAGAAATGAACTCAGCAGTCAAATTCCTACTTCCATAGGAAATTTAACCAATATAATTGAAATTTATCTTCATGTGAATTTACTTTCAGGATCCATTCCTAAAGAATTTGGATATTTGAAAAAAATTCAAGTTCTTGTTTTGTTTGGAAATAGACTTTCAGGATTTATCCCTCAAGAACTAGGATTTTTAACAGCTCTTCAACTTTTTGAATTGCCTGCAAATAATTTAACTGGAAAAATCCCTAAATCTATAGGAAATTTGACAAAATTACAAGGTCTTGATTTATCCGATAACTATCTCTCTGGACCAATTCCTCAAGAAATGGGACAACTATATTCCCTTGTTGAGTTACGTTTGTTTACAAATGAACTTTCTGGTCCCCTTCCAAACATGAACAATTATACCCAGTTGACAAATTTTCAATTATCTGAAAATAGACTAAGTGGTGATTTACCACAGGAGATATGCGTTAGTGGGTTGCTTGATTATTTCTCTGTCCATCACAATAACTTTACAGGGTCTATTCCAAAAAGCTTAAAAAATTGCAATCAGTTGTTTAGAATTAGGCTTGATGCAAACCAACTTTCTGGAAATATATCTGAAGCTTTTGGGGTGTATCCTGAGTTAGACTATATTGATTTGAGTGATAACAAATTGTCTGGTAAGATATCTTCAAATTGGGGACAATGTCGTAACTTGACAAGCTTAAAGATATCTAATAATAATTTTTCTGGTGACATACCATCTGAGCTTGCAAATGCAACCCAACTCCAATTTCTGGACCTCTCTTCAAATAATCTATATGGAGAAATTCCAAAGGAATTGGGAAATTTGAAGTTGCTATTTCATCTTGGTCTTAGTAATAATAAACTTTCAGGTCAAATTCCTCTAGAGATCACAATGTTGTCTGCTCTTTCGTATCTCAACTTAGCAAGAAACAATTTTAATGGGTCCATTCTCAAACAAATTGGAGACTGCACAAAACTATTGGAATTGAATTTGAGCGGTAACAATTTTTCTGAGAAAATACCTCTTGAGATAGGCAGTCTGCTTTCATTGCAGACACTTGATTTAAGTGAAAATTTGTTGATGGGAAACATACCTGAACAACTTGGAAACTTACAGCGTCTAGAGATTCTGAACCTTTCTCATAATAAGTTACATGGTTCGATTCCGGTTTCTTTCGATGCTATGATTGGCTTGACAAATGTAGACTTATCCTACAACCAACTAGAAGGTCCAATTCCTGATACCAAACCATTTCTTGAGGCTCCATTCGAAGCATTTAGAAACAACAAAGGCCTGTGTGGAAATGCTTCTGGGTTGAAGGCTTGCCCTGCATTAATCAACCATAATAATGTAAAAAGAAGCGAGAAAATTATTGTTGTAATTGTTGTTCCAATTTTGTGCACGCTATTTCTCACATTTTGCATTGTCGGGATTCTTTATACTTACTGCCAAAGAGAAAGCAGTAAGTCAAAGGAAGTTGAAACGAGGAACGATCCTTTTGCAATATGGAGCTATGACGGTAAAATGGTTTACCAAACCATTGTTGAAGCAACAGAAGGATTCGACTCGAGGTTTTGCATTGGTGCGGGGAGATCTGGAAGTGTGTACAAAGCTATTTTGTCGACAGACAAAGTTGTTGCTATAAAGAAACTTCACTTGCAGCTCGAAGATGAAATCGCCAATTCAAAAGCTTTTGCTAGTGAGATTCAAGCTTTAACAGAAATAAGGCATCGAAACATTGTGAAGCTTCATGGGTTTTGCTCAAATAGTAATCAACCCTTACTGGTTTATGAGTTTTTAGAAAATGGGAGCCTTGAAACTTTGTTGAAGACTGACGAACAAGCAAAGGCATTTGACTGGACGAAGAGGATAAATGTTATTAAAGGTGTGGCAAATGCTTTGTCTTACATGCATCATGATTGCTCGTTTCCGATAATCCATCGTGACATATCGAGCAAGAACGTTTTATTGGACATGGAATACGAAGCTCATGTATCAGATTTTGGCACTGCTAAGATTTTAAAGCCAGATTCATCTAATTGGTCTTCAGTTGCAGGCACACTTGGGTATATAGCTCCAGGTATGTCATTTCCTTTCATTTCACCCCATAAATTATCAGTAATTCTTCCATGTCTTATTAAGTGAAGTAGTTAACTAACGCCAATTTTGCTCTCAAAACTAAATTTATTCTTTTACCGATCCATTTTTATTTGTGGAGAGAAACTTATCTACACCTAGTATACGACCTCACCCATATGTCAAAACCAATCGAAATTAGTTTTTCAAAGGTACTTATAACCATTTAATGAGAAAAACAAATAAAATAGTAACAGTTATTTTACAAAAAAGTCTTATCCATCTTTGCAGAGCTTGCTTATACAATGGAGGTAAATGAAAAATGTGATGTCTATAGCTTTGGGGTTCTGGCATTGGAAATACTTGTAGGAAGCCATCCAGGCGATCTTATCTCAACCCTATCATCACCATCATCATCATCAGCTTCACTATTGAAGGATTTGTTGGATAATCGAGTCTCACTTCCCAGTAATCAAGTGATTGAAGAAATAGTCTCTGTTGTGGAAATAGCAGTTTCATGCTTGCATTCAAATCCAGAATCACGTCCATACATGAAACATGTTTCTCAAGAGCTATCTACTCATACTCAAAACCCACCTTTGGAAATGCAACTCCATACTATTTCAGTAGGACAACTACTTGGTCATGGAGATTAAATATCCTTAATAGCTGTCAAATATTGTATCATTTTGTGATAATAAAATAATGAAATGAATAAACTGGTTGTGGTTACCTATGTTTTATGAGGATTATTATGCATGTTTTCTTTGAACTTGCCATAGCATAGGTTCTCTCAATAGGCATGACAATCGAATATCTAATCTCTGAGGGTTCTGGATACAATATCTAATGAATAAACTAAGACCCTATTTGATATCAACTTGACTTTTAGCGTTTTGATTATGTCAAAATTCTATCTCTACCAATTGTAGAGTATAACAAAGCTTTTATAATACCCTTTGTTTCACTTTAATAACAGCAACATTTAACATTTTCACAAGAATTAAAAAAAAAAAACTTTGTTTCACTTTAATAACAGCAACATTTAACATTTTCACAAGAATCTTTGTTTCACTTTAATAACAGCAACATTTAACATTTTCACAAGAATTAAAAAAAAAAAACTTTGTTTCACTTTAATAACAGCAACATTTAACATTTTCACAAGAATTAAAAAAAAAAAACTTTGTTTCACTTTAATAACAGCAACATTTAACATTTTCACAAGAATTAAAAAAAAAAAATTAACATAGCTTTTATAATACTCCTTATGTTCCACTTTAATAGCAATATTTGATATTTTCACATAATTAAGAAAATGATTGGAACACTTTGATTTTCTAAAACTACATGGTAGAATGTCTAAATTGTCCTTAAAATTAAAAACTCTTCATTTCATTTTACTACAAAACACCAAATTAAATATGGGTAAAATTTTTTTAAAAAAAAATTATTAATATATTCTCAAAGTCCTAAATGAGTACTTAAAGTGAAACAAGATAAAATGTAAATTTGTTGTTGTTAAAATATAACAGAGGGAATAGCTGTTAAGGATTAGAGAACTTTTTATGAAACTTAAACACTCCTAACATTTAAGGTTTAATTTTTAATTAAATTTTTTTGACCATCATTGTCTTTTTTTCACTCAAATTTAACTAATTAAATAACTAATGTTTTTTCTTGTCATGTTAAATTAAACAGCTAAGTAAATCTGAACACTTCTAATTTAAGTCGCTATATAAATAGATGTCAATCCGAACACTTCTAATTTAAACCGCTGTACAAACAATTAACAGTTAAAACTAATAGCTAACCACTACTAGCTACTGCACTAGCTAAACCCTAAGTATTTTTCCCCTCCCATTGGCAATACATATAAGGTGCAATGGCCTCGTATCCAATTAGCACGATCCATTTTATCCTTGCTTTCTTGTGAGGGAAGGCCATTGGATTTTTTTTACCATTTCCTTTATTAAGAGAATAACGAAGTATAATAAGACTGCCCTAATGTTGCCAAAATCAACGGTTTACTCCTCTGCTGACACGCCTACTTTTGGCTTTCAATGGCAATCACGGACATGTGACTTGCGTTTCACTAAAGAGTTTGGCAGTTATCTAAAGAGATGGATAGAATATTTGGCAGTCTGACTAGGAGCGCTAGTATGCGGTCTAGCACAGGAATGGAACTAAGCAAAAGGTCGAAAAAATAAAGAAGTCATTTGAGCTGAAGATATAGATACTAGTTTAAGTAATTGGAAATTACCCGTTATCTCATCTAATATGATATATAAGTCAAGTATCAATTTCATGTTTAAGTCTGACTATGTAGTGAAAACTGTGGAACAAGCAGTTCCAATTCATGAAGGGTCTCAATTTTTTAGTTCGTTTTGTAAAGAATTATTAACAAAACATTAAGAAAAATATAACTTCCTAGGTATAGGAATGGTACAAGTGGCGTTGAGGCCAGCCACTAGACTTGGGCTAAATACCGCCGCCGTGATCTGCTTAAAAGATAAGTGGCATAATAAATTTCATGATTCTGTGTTAGGAGTGATTGAGTCCTCGCTCTGTGATGGCCCAATTTATTTCTCATGTTACCCTAACCTTACTCTATTGTAGAAACCAGATTCTGCTGAAGTAGAATCTATTGTAGAGTCTTCCCAAGGAGTAGTAGCTCTTCGATTTTTTTCAGAAATAGAACTGTCAGTATAGGTTCTTAGAAGGTCCTTCTCGGGAATTCCTAATGCTCCTTATCCAGTCCCACTAAGAACATCTATGTCCACCATTGGCCCAATCCAATGTTCCAACTATATAAGTGGATTAAACAGAACTGATGAAAATGTGGCCCAACTTGTTTATGAATCTAAAAGCCCAACACCTTTAGATATGGGTTACGATAAAGAAAGTATGGTGTCAAAACCTTTCAAAATTATGATGCTTGAGAAAGAATTATCTCCATTTCACAAATGGTTCCAGATGAACCTAAGTGAACAAGAGCAGGCCTTTTGGCTCAAGAAATATAAAGCCTATCAAGGCCTTCAAGGAACCAAAGACTTTCATGAATTGTTACAACATATGTTCTCCTTAAAACAAAAACTCTTTCCTGATTTTCACAATGAAGCCTTCGTCACTACTCTAGAATCCACCTATAAAACCTTTTTGACACCCAAATGTCACCTCCTTCGCAGCATTCACCCTCCTTTAGCTCCGATTGCTTATAAAACCGACCATTCTCACATCGAATGTTTTCCTTTTTCGCCCAGGGAGGGAACGCCAGCTAGCTTGAGTCACCAACAAAATTTTATCAATCTGAACCTATACACAATGGTGAGCAATTTAGTCGCATTGAAAATCAGATGAATAAACTGAAAGCAGCACGCTATATGCCTAAAGAAAATTCTGCATCCAAAATAGGCAATTTAGAAGACAAAGTCTTGTTCAAACCAATGGGAGACAAGCTTGATTTAAAGCTGTCTAAAGAAGATAACACTGAATTAATATATGAAATTACTAAACGACTCGCAGGGCTAGAGGTAGACAGAAAAAAGAAAGCCATAGCCCCTTTAACGGTAGAAGTAGAGTCAGAAAAAGATGACTCTGAAGAAGAAATTCCAAAGAAGAAAGGAATTTACAAGAATTAGAAGCAATGCTAAAAACAGAGCCTAATGAAATCAATAGGATCACACATCCTAAAGCCAAGGGGATGGTAGATGTCAAACCATACTACCCCATGCCATCTCCCATCAATATGCAATATGAAGAGCCAAGCTTTAATTATGTTCAGTACGACGGTTTGTCCATAGTAGAATGAAATATTGATGGACTATCTGAATATCAGATCAAGAATGTCCTCCAATACATGACCATGTATGCCTAGGCATGCAAAGTAAAAGGCAATTCAAATCCAAATGTCATGAAAGCTATCGTTGTTGGCTTTGCAGGACAACTGAAAGGTGGGTGGGATTTTCCCTTAACCAAGGAAGGAAAAGAACAAATTGAGTATACTGTAAAGAGGGAGATTATTGGAGACGGTGACCAAAGAACTCTTGTCACCCTTCCTGATGCAGTGAATACCCTTATCTATACCATAGGGCTTCATTTTATAGGATTTACTAGTATGTACTTAGATAGATCCCATGAACAGCCAATGAATTTAAAATGTCCTGACTTGTCACACTTTAAATGGTATAGAGATGTTTCACAGCTGTCTTTGCTAGAGAAGATAGCCAGCATGATTTTTGGAAGGAGAAGTTTATCTCTGGCTTACCCTCATTATTTGCTGAACGAGTTAGAAATAAATTGAAAGAAAAGAATGAAGGAATTATCCCTTACCATAATTATATCTATGGGGAATTAGCCTCCGAAGTTATTGCGGAAGGGATAGCATTGTGTAATGAAATAAAAATACATAGGCAAATGCAAAAGGAACGATTAACGGGTAGAAAAATCCTAGGTGATTTTTGTGAACAAATTGGATATCCGTCAATAGGCTACCCACATAAGAAAAGAGATAAAAGGATAAAGAAATATTATCCGTCTAAAAGATATAGTGAGAAGAAGAAGAATAAACAAACTAAACATTCAGAAAAGAGAAAGAAAACCCCTAAAGAAAGAAAGTGTAAAAACACTATAGTGTGTTATAGGTGTGGAAGAATAGGGCATTATGCAAATAAGTGTAGAATGAAGCAATAGATCCTAGCCCTCACTATAGATCAGAATCTAAAAGATTCCTTAGCAAGACTCTTCCTAAATAGTTCTGATTCCGAAAAAGAGGATTTAGAACTTAATGTTTTGGATTACACTTCAGAAAAGGAAGAATCTGAGAAGGAAGTCTAGTCTAAAGAAGACTCAGACTGTGACGGGAATTGTGATTACTATAAGTCTCTATGTACTATGAATGGACTTTTAGTTCTCACAAAGAAATACAATCTAATTCTGAATTTAATAGATAAAATCCCAGATCCAGAACAAAGAAGAGCACAATTAGAAACCTATTTAGAAATGAATAAAGACAAGCCTGAACTTCTAAAGAACCTCTTCTCAAGAAAATAGAAGATAGAGAAGCCACGTATGATATTCATGAAATTTTTGAAAGAATTAAAAATACAAAGAAGCAAAGAGAACCAACAGTAAAAGAATTAAGAGTTGAGCTAAATATGGTCAAATCAGAAGTGCAAAAGTTAAAAGAAAGAGTAGTCATGCTAGAACTACTCAATAAAGAAGAAGAAGAGTTTGATCCTAAAGAAGTAAATTAGGATCCTTTTGAAATAAACAATTTGTGGTTTTTTAACTTGGTTAACAGGGTAATTACGCAGAAATGGCACACTAAAGTAACTATAGTTGTCCAAAGAGAATATGTGTTCCACACAATTGCTCTAATAGACTCTAGAGCAGATCTGAATTGTATTAATGAAGGATTGGTTCCTTCGCGATACTTCTCCAAAACCATGGAAGAGTTGAACATTGTAGACGGTAGTAAAATGATAGTTAAGTATAAATTAAACAATACAGCTATCTGCAATAATGGGATATGTTTTTAGATTCCATTTTTAATGGTAAAAGGACTATCTCATCCGGTCATCTTAGGAAATCGGTTCCTTCATATGTTGTATCCGATAAAGAATATGTCAGAGCAAGGAATTACCACTGAATTAGAGGGAAAAGAAATCACTTTTCGATTTATTTCCCAACCTCGAATAAAAGAAATAGATCTGATAAAGAATGATATCAAACG